CCCCCGCTAAATCTTTTAGGGGTACGCAGTACCCGACCGTATCCCCCTACTTTCACCCCTGTACAACACCCTAGATTTTTGACACTGACACAAGTCTCACAGTTATGAGCTGTTGCAGTGTCCTCTGCAGCGTCTCTCTCTTTAAAGACAAACACTCAATTAGCAGCCGTCTAACGAGGTCATTAGCAATCCGGCGTCTTAAACTTTCCCAGCGATGAGCAGTGATGCCTTAAATGTTGAGATGACACATTTTCACTGAATACTGTCTTACACAATTGCAGATCCTGTCATTTCCATATTAATTACGCTTTCGTCGTTAAAACATCACAGAGCTGTAAAATACAAATGGGGAAAAATACAAAAAGCTGCAATAATATTTACACAGGGGCAAAAATAAGAGAGAAGGGCTTTTTATTGAGTCATATTTAAGATTTTTATTTTTTTACGTTAAATCCACAGCCATAAAATTTGATACAAGGTTAGGAAAATATTTTTATGATTTGAATCTTGAGTCTCGTTCCATGTAAAGTTTTTCTCCTGATTTATTATCTCTAAATTTGATGCCAAATATGATGGACAATGATTTATACTCTGTATTAGTTTTCATACACCATTTTTTAAGTTTCAACCACAAACATCAGTGTAGTTTTTGTAATGTTGGAACCTAATTTGAATTTTTAGTTTAAAAAAGATGCCTGTTTGGAGGTACAAATGTTCCATTTGACTAGTAGCAAATGGAACATTGACCAACATATTCCATGTGTATTTGCTTGATCATTTTAATGATGGCATTTGACAAAATGTAACGATTTCTTGTTTCATAATTGGTGACTGCATTATGTTTTTCCTGATATAAAGCAGTTTGAACTGCCTTGTTGCTGTACAAATAAACTTGACTTGATGTATAGAAACACCTTTTTTCTCCTTCTGTATTGTTGTCTTTTAGCTTGTGATAAATGGATGGTCCTTCCTAGACCAGGTCTCCCCAGAGACGTCAACCGCTTCGGTCACTCTGCTGTGGTCAGCAATGGGTGGGTACCCTTTAAGATTCTGTGGTTTTTCTTGTTTTGCAACTTCATCCTTGTCAGTACGCGTTATATTTAGCTGCCTCTCCCACTCTTTGCTTCCTGTGAAGCTCTTTGTTTAGAAGCACCTCTATATGGAGATACAGTTTCTTCTTCACAGTTCTTCTACAGAAATTCAGGGTTTGGTTGGTTTTAGCTCTCAACATCGAATCATGACATCATTACATTGTATGGCTGCTTTCTTCATCACTGAACACAGCCTTGATCAGCCTTGGTGCTGATCAATTTTGAATTCAAATTGCAACCCTTCAAGAATTCAAAGGGATAAAAAGTGTTAACATCAATTGCCTGGGATCAAAGTCAACCGGTTCATTCTTAGGGTAGGTCTGCCTGTAAATGTCAGCCCTAAATAAAAACTAGATGTCTGCTTCAAGAAATCCATCAGAATATGAGGGGATGTTCTTTCTTCCATTTGAAATGATGACCTGATCCTTTAACAACATTCACTCTCCAAAAAGTCAACTATGACCACAAAAATGTCAGCTTTCAACTTCAGAAGACCAGCTTCAAACCGAAAAGTTCTTTTGATTTCTAAAGGTCCTTTCTGCTGCCTTTTAATGTTTTCACCGGTAGTCATCTGCGCCTGTTTAAGATTGGCCACGTTTCTTCCTTCTCACACAAATCACTCCTAAACTCTGTTATTATTGGGTTTTCTAGCATCATGTACGTCTTCGGAGGCTTTTCGGGTGTGCTTCTGAATGACGTGCTGGCCTACAACCCTCCGTCCTGCCAAGCCTTCTCGTCCCCAACTCTGTGTTTAGCGGCTGGGTCAGGAGTTCGCTGCCTCTGGGTGAAAAGCAGATGTCTCCCATGGGAGTCCAAACAGCACGATCACATCGTCCCGGCTTCTTTCTGCCCTGCACGACCCGGTAGGTCCACTCTGCTTACCGTTTCTATTTATCTACATCTTCCCAAAACAACAAAACCCTGCTGTCTAAGACGAACTTCACTCCCAGTAGGTTGATGACTGTAATTATTTTGAAAGCCTTTGATTTTGAAGCTTGTTTGCATATTGTAATTATGAGAACGGAGGTCAACAATGCCCCAATCAGCTCGTTTTAAACTAATTAGGAGAATCCTGAACCAGATGTAGCTAAAGCATTGCTTCTTTGTGTTCTACTTGCTCCATCACATTGCCAGTTCAAATGAAAAGTATTTTGAAAATTATATCACAAAATAGAGCTCAGACCCAGAACAACTGAATTACAATGATAAACAATATGATAAATGCCTATCCCAAAAACATATCAGTTGGATTTTCAGATTAAAAGTGTCCTAAGGTAAGTCGAACATAATTTGTGCAGACACCATTTCTGCACAAGGAAGTAGCTAACAGTTGCATCAATTCTGTAAGGGAGTATGTGACTAGTGTTGTCTTTTTGCCTCCATTACAGTAACAGGCACATATATAACAGTGTAACAAGTTTTAGTTTTTAACAGTTTTATCGCACGGTGTTTACTCTTCCTAAAAAGTGATACCTTAAAGGGCCAATAAGTGAAGAAATAACCATCCATAACCTGCTTTCTTGATTGACATTTCCATAAAAACCAACTGATCTTCCAGTCAGAAGGCAAACCAAAGTGGAGTTCTACTCTGGTAAAACATTACTATATGCCGACCACCCTGTGTTGCTCTTCTTGCAGACAGCACAGACGAACAGTGCATTCGCTTCTCAGACTGCGCCAGCTGCACAGCCAACACCTGGGGGTGCCAGTGGTGCAAGGACAGGAAGTGCATCTCTGCCTCAAGCAACTGCACTGTGGTCAGTTCACCCAGGTTATTGGTTAAAAGTTTTAAAAACAATACATCCTGCTGTACTTTCTGATAGTTGTGCTGGAAAAAATCTGAGAAAATAATGGAAGTTAAAAATGCCCTATGTGTTCATGTGTGCTTATCTTCAGCATTTCACTCATTCATTCTACCTGTTTCTCTGGTTTTAATCTGAACAATTCTTTGTCTGTCTTTCTGTGGGTGCCTCTGTTGTTTTTCTCTCTCTATGTATGCTTGGCTGCATCTGAATATGAAACCGTGAATGTTTCTGATTTTGTGTGTGTGTGTGTGTGTGTGTGTAGCTGACTCTGGAGCTGGCCCAGCAGCATGACGGTGCTTTGTCTCTGTCTGCACCTCCATCCATGTTGTCTGAACATCAGCTCAGCTTGTGGAAGCACGGCACACGAAGGAGGGGACATGTGTGTATTATTTTACAATACAGAGAATATTTCCTTTTCTGTCCAGCTGCACCCTGTTTTACATCATTTGAGATTATATGGAGATTTACTAATCTCCATATAAAAAAATGTATTCCATTTTGTGGAAACACTGATTTAATATAAATAATTAATATTGTAATTTAGTCATGAATTATGTTTAAATGGAAATCATCTTAGTAAACAAACAAAAAATATTTAAAGCTGAAATCTGGCAAAATTAAGACTGGCATTACAGAAATACAAAAAAAAATCTATTTAAATCAACAAATGAAATTACTACTTTACTTAACTCAAATAATATTATTGTTATGACATTGAAACACACAGGACTATGAGGAGTTGTTTAGGACAAAATCTATGTTTTGTCTCTCACACAAGTCTAAAGACTCATGCGTGCACACACAAAATATGAAAATTGCACATATATACGAGTAAAATGTCACACACGCATACAAATTTTCTCTCACACGCATACACAAAATATGAAAATTGTGCACACACAGCTAAAATGTCACACACGCTTACAATTTTTCTCTCACACACATGCCCAAAACACTAAAATTGTGTATACACACTACTAAAATATCACACATACAATTTTTCTCTCACACACAGACAAAATACTAAAATTACGCACATAAACTACTAAAATAACACACACACATACAATTTTTCTCTCACACATACACAAAATACAAAAATTGCTGGCATACACTACTAAAATATCACACATGCAAACAATTTTTTTCTCACATGGATACATAAAACTAAGATTGCACATATAAACTAATAAAATATAGATTATTTTTTTTGCATGTGATAGACTCATGTTTTGTATGTGTGAGAGTTGTCCCGGAAGAGGCGGGGCATAATTTGGAGATCAGATCGCGCATGTGTTGGTACCACAGTGAAGTTAGCTTCAAGTTAGATATTGCAGCTCCACGGTGTAAGCGGTGTTTAGCTCAAGGTTAATCCGATTTATGAACGCTAATTTCGGCCAGCCGTTTTCTACCGCTCCCTCCTGAAGCGCTCGGAGTGAACTTAGGGCTCTAACGCCGGCTTTAGCCCCACGTCCTCCTCAAGCGCTCGGAGGTTCACCTCGGGCGTATTCCGGTTCTAAGGCCGCTTACTCCGGCTCTAACTACTGTTAGCAGTAGCGCTAACACAATGCCAAGTTGAAAGGACATCATCAGCAACCTTACATAGGCAGTCACTGATGCTCATCCATTTGGACAAAGTTATAAACTCATTTATAAGGATTTTATGGTTCATCATAAGTGGAAAACATTTAAGATATCTGTCACGACTTGGATTCTCCCAGCAAAGTCATGCAAAGGTCAGAGCATGCAGTTCTCAAAAACACGAGATACATCCCAGACCAAAGTTTCTGCTTGCTGTTTATTCATGAAGTGCACTTGGTTTTTTCCACATGGTGCTGTTTCATCTGTCAAGGGTTTTGTCCCCTTCAGCTTAGATTAAAATAAATTTTGAGCCGGGTAAAGACCAGATGATACTTACAATTACAATAAGCTTATATGTTATGTTTGCTAACTTCAGTTTAAATAAAAATAATTTCCCTTGTGTTTGCTGAAGCTTTATATTTTACTCTCTGAACTAACACAGTCCCATCTTCCAGAATGAATTCTTCAATAAAAACTTCATCTCAGTATAAAATGCTCATATTGATTTCATTTTTCACTCTGCATGCTCTGTTTGACTTCTCATTCACCACGCCCATCACTCTTTATTCATTTTTCAGTGTGTCGCCATGCGCTGTGTATTGATTTCTCCCGGTTTATTGTATTTACTTGAGAATGAAAAACTTGGAAGTGAACTAATATTGTTTCCTCATTCTCTCTCTCTGTTTTTGTGAGAAGTCGGTGAGAGACTCGTCCAGGTGCAAGCGGCGGGAGGAACAGGAGTGTTTCCAACTGGCCAGCTGCTGGAGCTGCTCCCTGAACAGCAACTGTCAATGGGAGGTGCAGCAGCAGGAGTGCCAGGTGCTGCCCGGTGAGGATACACACTCATCAAAACACTTTATTAATGATCTTGGAAAAAACAAAGAAAAAAAAAACACTTTCCACACTGATATTTCCCCCCTTGAATCAACCTGTTTATCATAAATTCTTAATGTCTTTTTTTGCATTATTAAATCAGTTGATTTATAAAGCACCAATTCGCAACAAAAATCATTAAAGTTCAATCACACATACGTTCCAGTTGATCATAGTTGTCAAACAGTACAGTAGGCACTGTTTACTAATATCATATTATTGCTTAAGATAGAAATAACATTTTTAGATTAAACCTATAAATAAACTCACAACCTCAAACAAAGAGTAAAATCAACAGTATCCAAATCAAATTCACCAGTGAATTGATCTTAATATATTCAAATCTTAGAATATCTAGTACCGCCACTTACTGGTAGATTTTTTTTATGTGCTCATTTGGCTTCTTGTTGGTCTGATAAATCCTGAAGACTGACATCCACCCTAGTTTTAGCTCCATCCACCAAGATATTACCATTTAACAAAACTAACTTTTTCTGTCACACATCTCAGCAACATAAAGCAATATTTTTTATTAGAAAACTTTGTTAATATAATGATTTTAATAGTGAGGATGTTTTAGGACACTGCTAACTACTGTATCTTGTCACCGAAATCTGTGATGACATGCTGGGATTAAAACACAAAACAAAACATGTAATTCACCACCAGCAGGTGGAACCGATGTCAACATTAGCCTCAAAATTTAAAAAGAAATTCCTGAGCATGGCTAACGCAGTGTTAGGCTAAAGATTGCTGAACACCGGCTATAATTGTAGCCAGTATTCTCTTTGATACTCTTTATCTTTTGCTCTGAGTCATTACATTTTTAATGTACATAAAAAAGGGAGAAAAAAATGCTTTTTTCCCCAAAAAGCAAGCCCCTTGGAGCATCTGTGCCCAAGATGCTCCAAAGGGAGTATCTTGGGCATGTGAAGGATTTTGCTGCAACAGTCAAACAACGTCCTTGTTTCTATGTGAAGTTTCATTGGTTGAGGCTCTCAGTCCGCCAGACTAGCTGTGACTCACCAGTCTGTTATATCTCTGCTGAGAATGAAATATACACTTGGATTGGTTGTTCAGCTTCACTGAAGATAGAAAGTTCCTGTGCTTTCCAGGTCTTTTAAAACATTGTGATGGACCCTCTGTTGGTGGGTTGATGCAGCGTACATGTAACTAACTTGTTAGCTTCTTCCACCTTCGAGAATTCTCCAACAATCTCATATTAAAAATTGTAAATGAGAGGATCGTACTTAAAATCTTCTGCTCGTGGTATCCTCTGATTGGCCCGGAATCCATGAATGTCATGTGTATCAACAGAAAGCCACAACAACGATCTCTGTTTATTAGCGACTATCAAACAAAGTCGCCGAGCGGCTGAGTAGGGAAGTGGTTGTTGACACGCAAGCTGATTGAAACGTAAATCCAAGCTGCAGTTACAATGATTTTATTGTCAATATCCAAGGCAAAACAGTGTCCAAAGCAGCTTAAAACGGATCCGTAGAATTAAGAAGTGATCAAGGACAAAAACATAGCGGTCAGCAAAAAGTAGACCTCCCTAATCACCCACTCACTGAAGTCACCAGGTGAGCAACAGGTGATCTACAATTACTAATAACACCACGCGATCTCACACTACCCATATCCACATTCCGGCCCCTAATTATTACATCATTACACAGTAATAATTACTCATACAACACCATAACCTACATCACTACATCAAAACACACAATGAGATAACATAATGCATTCAAACAGTCCATGAAAGTCATTTGCAAATAGTCAAACAATCATTTCTTCTTTTCTTCAAAATAATCCATCCATAGTCGGTCAATCATAGGCCAGAGTTTACCAGCACTTAGCCTAATTATAGTCAGTCTGCGATGTATATCTAGTTATGACAAAATCAAGTCAAAAAGTCATGTCAAGAGTAGAGTCAAATGTGTTGTCTTCATTGGTCGAAAGTCTCCTGAAGAAGGCATATCTTTGTGATGGGTCTGCATAAGTGGCTGGTTGGGGTCTTAATCCAGACCTGACGTACAAGTCCATTTTTGTCAGGCACAGTTTCTGTGATTCTACCAATGATCCATGAACCACGAGGTGCAGAGTCATCCATTATAAGGACCACATCTCCAGGAACAAAGTTGCGTCTAATTTTCATCCACTTTTGGCGCTGTTGAAGTTGAGGCAGATATTCTTTAATCCATCTCTTCCAGAACAGATCAGATATGTATTGGACTTGTCTCCATCGTTTTCGTGCATAAATGTCATCCTTCTGGAATAAACCCGGTGGTAAACTTGGATTAGACTTGAGTAAGAGAAGATGGTTC